GCAGGTGTTCTTCGGAAGCGAAAGGCAAGTCCTGGGCTCCGTGCTGGCTCTTCCTTGTGCATGTTCTGCCCTTCCCTCTTGCCTCCTCCTCAACTGGGCATTTGATACCCCTGGGCAGGGTTGAGGATGTCTCCAGCTGTGGCTACAGAGGAGAGCCTTTCTCTCAGGTCCCCAGGGCATCAATAGGATAGGCAGAGACTGGGTAGAGATCCATGCCCGCTGGAGGTTTTAAGTCTAGCTCCACAACCACTGGAGGGTGCAACTTCTCCAAACCTGTCCCACCATCTGACCCACACGATAAGATAAGAGGAAGCTGACTTGAGACTCTAACCCTAAAGTGTGCATACATAATATATTGGTATAAAAATGCTTGCTAACTTTGTGGTAAACACTTTCCTGAAAGTCACCAGATATAACCATTGCTGTGTCCCATTCAATTATGTCCATCACCATGAAGCCTCAGGGCTGGGACTCAAATCTAGATCTGCGTGACACCAGGTGGGGCAGACAGCAGAGGGAACAGGGTCAGCCCTTGGGGGCAGTGACTCAGAGGCAGGTCCATCCGCCCCCCCTTTCCTTTCCCTCCCTGTCCCACTGACTCACCCAGACTGTTCCTGGGCCTGTCTTTGGAATTCTGGGCCCCAGGCAGTGTTCTTGGCTGCTGCTTCTCCAAGGCAGGGCATACCCTCTATAGAGATGTTCCAGATGACTTTGGGGGTCTTCAAGCTCCTCCACAGGATTGGGCATCTCCTCCAACCACTTTGGGAGGGCAGAGGGCTTACTGAGGAGACACAGACAAGACCTGGCGTGTGTCTGGCTGGCACAGCCTTGGGGAGGGATGGCCAGCTCAGCCTCAGCATCCTGTGTCTTTTCTTGTCTGAGCCCATCCCCCCCACTTGTCTCAACCCCCCAGCTCAGCCTCACCTCTGGTCCCAGGACCTGCCCATGGCCAGGTGGGCATAGAGCTCTGTCATTGACCTGGATCACCATTCCTGCTCTTTCCTGCCAAGCTGCTGGAGGTGGCCAAGGGGGGACAGGAACCACAGGGCCACATCTCTCTGGCCCCTGCAACTGTCCCTAGCAATCCAGGAGACCCAAATTCCTGAGAGGCCATCAGAGGTCTCCAGAGAGGAAGGGGAAGGTGCTTGGGACCTGGGTACCCCTGGAGGCATGGAGGAGAAAGGGGGTCCCTGCCTCTGCACACCCTCTGCTTGGCTTGGGGGAGACAGTGGCCTGACAAAAATGAAGGTTGCTTTCCTGCTGGTGCCCTGAAAGGCCTGTGCTCTATCCCGGTCCTCTCTCCTCTAACCCCTTTCCTCCTCTACCCCATTTGTCATCCTCATGCTTGGATTCTAGTCCACTCCTGCTAGCCCAGGCTCAGCTTTAGGGTAGAGGATGGGGTAGAGGAGGCGCTGCAGCAAGCAGGTGAATAGGGCAGCCCCAGGGAGCTGAGAAAGTGACACAGTGTGGTCCGAGGGGTAGAGGAAAGTCCCTGTCTGCAGAGAGGTGACATGTCATTCCAGCTCTGACTAGCTAGGAGGAAGACCCAGGCTAGGAACACAGAGAAAAGCATCCCAGGTAGAGGGAAGAGCCTGGTTGAGGGCCTTGAGGTTGAAAAGTCTGAGCAGTTCCAGGAATGGACCAGGGCCAGTGAGTGAACGGGGACAGTGGGTGGGTGGAGCAGCCGGCTATGGGGGTTTTTACATTTTCTCCCAGTTTGGTGAAAAAAAACCTGGGAGGTTTTAAGTCTAAGAAGTCTCTGAAGTGATCTCTCAAGGGTGGCATATCATCCCAACTGCTTGAGAGGCTGAGGCAGGAAAATCACTTTGAGCCAGGGAGTTTGAGGCCAGTGTGAGAAACAGCAAGATCTTACCTCAGCAATAAAATAAAAAAAGAAAAAGCATTTTTTTTCCTGGCTGTTCAGTGGTAAACACTGTAGTTCAGAGCAGGGTATAGGGAGTGGCCAGAGCTGGTGGGACATGAACAGGTTTAGACCTGGGGCATGCTCTGAGATGAATTGGGAAGAGGATTGCAATACACCATGCGTTCCCATGCCTGAGAATTCATGTCCTTATGTAGTCCCGAGAAGGGGGCCACGTGCAGAGGTTCTGAAGGGAAGCCCTATGCCCAAGGCATCGCTAAGGCCAAATGCCTGTCCCCGGGATCTGCTCCTCACCTGCCCTAGGTGTGGCTGGCATGACTCATCATGTCACCTGCAGTCAGGGACATGGGGCCTCAGGGAGGACCAGCATTCCTGGCCAGGAGCCTGGGCTAGGACCCCAGGGCTTGGCACAGGGGCTTCGCCTTCTGTCTTGCTGTGGCAGCCCTGTTTTCCTGGCACGGGGACAGGGAGATTAATGTAGCAGAAACTACAAGAAGACAGTGTTAGAGGGACTGCCTAATGACAGGCATCAGCCCTCAGGGCTGGGGACACCTGGGGACAGCGGATGGAGCAGGGCATTCTGCTGTCTGCAGAGATGTGGGCTCAGTGCTGAGTGCCTGCTGCCTAGCTCCAAGCCCACACAGGTGTGTGTGTGTGTATGTGTGTATGTAACTGTGTCCATGTACATTTCTGTATATTCATGAGAGTTCGTGTACTCACATGCATGTGAACATGTGAGTGTGTCTGTGAAACCTTGTGTGATCTTGTGTGTGCATGTGTGTGCCTGTGTAACCATGTGTGTGCATGTATGTGTCTCTGTAACCCTGTGTGTGCACGTGCGTGTGTGTGATCTTATATGTGCATTTGAGTATCTGTGTAACCTTGTGTGTGCATGTGTCTGTGTGACTTTGTGTGTGTATGAGTGTGTCTGTGTAACCCTGTGTGTGCATGCCAGTGTCTGTTTGACCTTCATATGCATGTGACTGTGTCTGTGTTACCCTGTGTGTGCATGTGTATGTCTGTACATGTCTGTGTAACCATGTTTGCACATGTGAGTGTGCCTACATAACTGTGGGTGTGCATATGAATGTTTGTGTAACCATGTGTGTGTGCATGTATGTGTGTGCGTGTGCATGTGTGCATGTGAGCTAAGGGTCTCCAGAACCTCTGCAGCTTTTCCAGGACCAGGCTCTGGAACCTGCTTTGACCCAGTGACCTCCACCCTGTCTGCTAATAAGCAAACTCTTGGATCTGGCTCCTAATCCCTGTCCCTGTTTGTGCCTCTGGTGAGAGAATAATTAACCATGGACTCATTTTCCAGGGCTTCCTTCCCGTTATCCCGGCCAAGTGAAAATATTCACTGTGAGCAGGGCTGCAGCGGGGAGGAGCGTTCCTTGGAGGAGGAGTCCCTCTGGGTGGAAGGTACAAGAGGCACGGTCTCCATGACCAGCCAAGGGAAGGTACTTCTTGGCAGGGAGCCTGGGGAGGAGTGAGGCCAGGACCAGGGTCTGGCCACCCTCAGATTCATCACTAGTTCAGTCTCTGAATTCGGGCGAGTTCCTAGTGCTTTCTGGGCCTCTGCTTCCTTCTTTGTTAACAGACAGATTTACACTAGAATTCAGTCCTTCCAAAGTGTTGCTTCTGTACGTGAACAGGTAATACCTAAAACCAAACCAAATCAACAACAGAATCCTTGATTCCTTAAGGCTGGAAAGGAACTAAGTTATGCAGTTAAACTAGTTTCTTTACTGTAGGGTTGTGCAGAGCCTTTGTGGTTAAATCTTGTTTCCTTGGGTTAGCCATGGGAATGAATGCCTGTGGCATCTAGTTCAGAAGGTATGGACTGCTTAGGGAACTCCTATCTTTCTGGTTCCTTTCATAGAGTCCCCTTCAGCCCCCTTCCTGGCTAAGGCACTGTGGGCAGTTTCCAATGTCTAGAGAGACAGCTATCAAATCTGAGTACAAACTTTATCCTGGGAGTCCCTAAGACAGGAGGGGAGCTGGATTACATTTCTTACCACAGACCCCCTCCTCAAACATCTCTTTGACCAAAATCTGGAGAAAGAGCCTTGGACCAAGATCTAGAGGAACAGCCATGTGTGGACTCTGGTCCCCATGTGCTGTTGACTTCATTCAGGAAGGGGGTGACAGTGTGCCTTTAGGGGATGGACTCCCCTCTTTGGAAAGGTGCCCCTGACTTCTGCCTTCTGCTGCCTATACAGGGGCTGTGCTGAGCTTGGGGGAAGATGCTAGGGCTGGCAATGTGTTTGGGGACACTGAGGCTGGGGAGGGCCAACCCCTTGCTCAGGTCAGGCCAGGCTGGGAGCAGGATGGTGATGATTCCCACACTGTGGGTTTCAGAGGCCCGTGGCTGACCAGGGCTTTCCCAGTGCCTGGACCCAGGGTGTGTGTGAGGAGGGAGGGGCATGTGGGAGTTCTCCCGGCCCAAAGGCCTGCTGATGGACTTGTGTGGGGTCTCCCAGCTTCTAGGCCCTGTCCCACACTACAGCTTTTTTCCTGGGAGATGGACATGAGTTGTGTCTAGGTATGTGGGCCCGGGCCGGGTGGGTGTGTAGTGCGGGTTGGAGTGGCTGTGATAGGGGCTCTGTGTGTGAGGTCACAGCTCAGAGCCCTCTGTGTAGGTGAGACATGGGCGCAGCAGGGCACGCGTGGCTAGCGCAGGGGACACTTGTCCTATGCAGGGCCTCGAGTTACAAGCTGCACCCGGCGGTGGGCGTGTCGTGGACGCTGGCAGCGGTCGCGCGTGGCCAGGACAAGGTGTGCAGCGGCGCCGGAGGGTGTGAACCTGCATGTGGCGTCCCCGCCCCGCCGGGGGCCGGGCAGGTGTGGGCGGGCCGCGGGGACCCCGCCAGGGCCCGCCGGGAGAGCCGGCGGGAAACAGGAAGCGGGGGGAGGAGGCGCGGCCGGCCGGGAGCGGCGGGGAGCGCGGCGGAGCCCTGGCGATGTGGGG